TCATGATCTTCTGGGTCTTTGTACTTATCATTAGCTCCACCAGAAATGCTCTTTGGACTCTGTGACTTCGCCCCTTACTTTGATCAGGTCCCAATTTGAATGTTCTCTCCTTAGCAAAACCTATTCTTATCCCTTGGTCTGAAAGAACTACCTGCTCTTCATGCTCTGTTACCTTATTCTACTTTAATCTTCTCATTTATCTATCTGATATATAATTATATGATGATATACTTACTATTCCCCAACTACAATGTAAGTTTCTTTTTGTTTATTTATTTTTTTTTTTAGATGGAGTCTCCCTCTGTCACCCAGGCTGGAATGCAGTGGCATGATCTCAGCTCATTGCAACCTTCACCTACTGGGTTCAAATGATTCTCCTACCTCAGCCTCCTGAGCAGCTGAGATTACAGACACACACTACCACACCCAGATAATTTTTGTATTTTCAGTAGAGATGGGGTTTCACCATGTTGGTCAGGCTGGTCTTAAACTCCTGACCTCCCGATCTCCTGATCTGTCTACCTCAACCTCCCAAAGTGCTGGGATTACAGGCATGAGCCACTGTACCCAGCCAATATAAGCTTTATGAGAACAAAAAAAGTGTCTGTTATGTTCATCTCCAATGTTTTACTATCTGTATCAGTGTCTGTCCAGTACTAAGACCTTAGTTATTATTTATTGAATAAATAAGTAAACATCACTGTCTAGGAAAAGCAAAAGCATATATATATATATATACATACACACTCACTCATACACCTGTACACACACCCAATCTGTTCTGATTAGACCACACTAGAAATACTGCATTTAATTCTACATCCTCTTTACTAGGTTGAATTAACAAGGCTCTTTATCTTTTTTTAAAAAAATGAATAAAATTATTTGAAAACCTAAAAAATCACCACCTGAAAAAGGAGTAAAGAGAGCACAGGTAGAGCCTGAATAGATGGATATTTAGGAATAAAAGTTACAGAAAAATAGATTCTAAGTTCATTTTAAGAAAGGGATTTAATAGCCATAAATAATCAAAAATAGAATGGACTTCAGTGTGAAATCATGGGTCTGTCATCATTCAAGATGTCCAAGTATAGCTGGACAATCATTGATGAGCGCAGCTGTAGAAAGTAGTTTAGCACAAAAATAGATAGCTGCAGGAAGTGGTCTGATTGGTCGGTGCCAGTCCCAAGGTGCTCTGATGCAGAGATTTTACTCGTGTTAACATTATTCAGGGCATTTAAGAAATACTTTCTCAGAAACTGCTTCCAAGTCTATGGCTCATTCTTTCTGATGCAGAGATTTTACTCGTGTTACCATTATTCAGGGCATTTAAGAAATACTTTCTCAGAAACTGCTTCCAAGTCTATGGCTCATTCTTTAGAATATATTTATTACTGACAAATTCAAGTTTGCTAAGGAAAGTGAATGATAAGGCTTGTTGACAATAGTTTCTTTGTACTTCAAAATATCACTGTGACTGTTACATGACTACTTCCTTTTGTCATGACTTTTTAAATCTATTTTTTAAATAGGAATTTCTGTATTATTTTGACAAAGGATAAAATTAGAAAAATTATTTCAACTTGCAAATTTTAATTTGCATGATTAAAAAAGAAACATGCTGAAATCATCAAATTAACTTATAATCTCATCTCTTGCATAACATTCATAACTTTCCTAATATATGCAGTGATTAAACCAAATATCTTATTTTAATGCTTCATAACAATAAACATCATTAGTTTCTCTCCTTTTCTGATGTGTAATTGAAGATAAGACATATTAAGTCACTTGGTCCAGATTTAATCAAGTGCAGACCAGGCCTCAAACCTTGATTCTAGGTTCATGGTCATATTATTCACTTCAACCTGATCACTTTGGTCTAGAATGAAGACCTTTAACCAATGCTGCAAAATTCCAGGCCCCACCAAAGAAACATGGAAAAAATAATTCTGGGAGGTCTCTACTTTATATTTTTTTCTCAGACTATCTGTATAGGAAGTTTTCTATTCAATCTCCTCTTTGGAATGTTCTGGCTATAAAGCACAATAAAAATGTCAAAAATTATTCTCTCCTGTAATGCAGGCCTTTTCTTGCCAGTGTGTAGAAAGCAATGATGGATTTTCAATACACTTTATAAATTGTCACACCCTTGTTATTTTGTTTTCCAAAATCTATTTACATTCCATGGCTTTATGTTAAGCTTGGGTTACTAACTCACACATTTATTCTAAACTTAATTGAATTTTTATTACTCATGATAAAATTGGTGTTTTGCATTTTGCACAATATTTCTCTGCTGTGGACTTTCATAAGGTACAATTATACAAGAATCAGAGCCTGGAGGAATTAATTATTAATGAATGGAATAAAGATATTAATGTTTATTTGTAACAATTGAGAGGCTATATTTGCTTCCCTCAATTGTGATAGCAGATCCTGGATTTTGATGCCCTTTCCTTGTCTTAATCAGTAAATTCCAGTCCTAGGATCATAATAGCTAGATTATCTAATATTAAGATGCTATCTGAAATAGGCCTTCATATGTGTGTGTGTGTGTGTGTGTGTGTGTGTGTGTGTATGTGTGTAGATAGATATGCATATGAACACATATATACATATTAATACAAATTCACACACATATATAAAAACATACACATATACACTCAAATACACATAGGCGCACACATATAAAGTGTTTGGCACTGATTTTTTTTTTTTTTCATCAGATCAGCCACTGAGTAACTCCATAAGGTAGGGAGACTCAGTATTACTCTTTTTGTTCCAAAGATGAAGAAACTAAGACCTGGAAATTTTAAATGACTTACCCGATATCACACAGCCAATAAGTGGCAGAGCCAAGACTCAAGTCCTCATCTCACTTATTCCAAAGTCCACATAACACTAAATGCTCAGGAGCTGACAGTAATGACCCTCATTAGGGCTTTTAGGGTTTACTCTGAACTAGGCAGTTTACATGTAATATCTCATTCATTCCCCTAAACAGCCATGGGTTAGATATTAATTCACCTATTACAAAGTTAAAAAACAAAAACAACAACAACAAAGACTGAGGCTGGAAATATCTCTGCAATTATATCATTTAAAAAAAAGTAACTTTCCCAGATAACTTCTCAATTGCAGAGCAGTGACATCAACTCATGTCTTCTGATTCCTTAGAAACTCATCTTCCTGGTGTTTTTCCTCTCTGATAAAAACAAGAAAAAAGACTTGTTAAGTGAATGCCAAATAAATATTTGCTTAACACAGAAACGTCTAATTGAATAATAATCTATTGCACTTTACTTTACCTTCCCTAACCCCCATTCCCATCCAGATAATCAAAGATCATGGTGCTATATTGGTGAGGGGGGAAGGGATATAGAATAGGATGCATGAGAACTATAACTTGGTATACATTAAACGTCTGGTATAATGTCTTTTAAAATTCTTGGTTGGCATGTCTCATAAACCACATATTACATTGTCCGATGACAATTCTACATAGAATTATATAAATTAATAATTATATATGATGTGTTAAATGCTTTTTATTTATACTATTCCATTTCATTGTCTCAGTCTATATAAAATATATTTTTATTCTGCTTTTGCAAAAGAAACTGTGGCTCAAGAACTTGAATGTCTTTTAAAATCCCATAGCTGGAGAATGGCAGACTTCAGATTCATATGTCAGCTTTCTGACTCAGGGTGCAGTGCTTCTTTACCCACTGTATTCTCCACAGTGCCTGAGGTTGGCACTTTTTTTTTTTTTTTTTTTTTTGAGACGGAGTTTCACTCTTGTTACCCAGGCTGGAGTGCAATGGTGCAATCTCAGCTCACCGCAACCTCCACCTCCTGGGTTTAAGTAATTCTCCTCCCTCAGCCTCCTGAGTAGCTGGGATTACAGGTGTGTGGGTTGGCATATCTTTAAGTTCAAGGCAACCCACTTCTTTCATCGAAATTTTCCCAAATACATGGTTGATATTGGGCATTCCTCTTCTGAATTCCTACAATGGTTTCTGAAACTGTAGGTCAGCAGCATTGTTTCTCTTACTCAGATGACTTCAGGGTCAAGTTTCTGGATTGGAAAACATCTTTTTTTACTTTATCATTAACATTGTTTTCTGGTAGGTTCTAGAGACATAGAAGTGAGGCAACATCCTTGGTGTGATCAGCTATTTGGGGGCTAGTACCCACTGTGATTGTAAGGAGGGCTTAGACATTGACTGTGATAACAGCAAGCCAGAGCTGTAGGATGACAAATTTGAAGGTAGAAAGGAAACTGTGGGGTAGGATGCTTAATTTCATAGGGTAGCAAGAGCTTAGCTCAATAGCAGATTTTTGGAAAGCCAAATATATATGAAATTGTGGGTTAGATATCAGAACTGCCGTTGAATGAGAGAGAAGTGCACTGGTTCAATATCAAGCACTGTGAAAAGCTTCTGAGGAGCAGCACTTCATCCTCAAAACCCTGCACTATAATAGGCAATGCAGCTCTACAACATTAAAGGCTAATTTTTCTTTTACCCAAGTCCTATCATTGTTGTAATTAATGGGTGTAAGGGTTATTAACCTACAATTTTTTTTGAGACAGTTCTGTTCTTTTTGCCCAAGCTGGAGTGCAGTGGTGCAGTCTCAGCTCACTGCAGCCTCTGTCTCCCAGGTTCAAGCAATTCTCCTGCTCAGCCTTCCAAGTAGCTGTGATTACAGGCACCTGCCACCACACTTGGCTAATTTTTTTGTATTTTTAGTGGAGACCAAGTTTCACCACGTTGGCCAGGTTGATTTCAAATTCCTGACCTCAGGTGATCCATCCAGCTCGGCCTGTCAAAGGGCTGGGATTACAGGTGTGAGCCACCGTGCCCAGCCTAACCTATAATCTTTTAATTCCCAATCCCTCCACACTCTGTGATGCTATTACTGGGTCTCCATCAAGCACATTTCTCTTTGGTCAACTTGCTCTCTATTAGTTTTTTTTTTTTTTTTTTTGCCAACAGGGAGTGTTAAAGGAAGCCTAGAAAACAAGAGGTGCAAAGAAAGGACTTGATCCATTCCCGTTCGTGTCCTGGTTTGCAATTGTCTTCCCAGCAACGGCTCTTCACTTCAGCAAGCAGCAGTTGCTTCCACGTTCCAGTTTCTTTCGGCAGTCTCAGAACCAGCACCAACTAGGTTTCAGTGTCAGCTGAAAGGGAGGCTGTACTCAGAGGTCTGAGTTACAGCTCCTCCTCTGAGCTCTCAGGTGCCAGTACAATGGATGCACTCTCTCTTGCAAGGTACAGTTCCTAGATTATCAGGGACCCCTACTCTAGGCTTCTAGGTTCTTATCATCCTAATATCTTCATGTTGGCTCCTGGTCATAACAGTCGTAGCTGTTTCCCATTCTCTCTGTGTTAACTTGGTGTTTCATGGTAGCTTTTTAGTCCTCCAATGCCTGTTCAACCAGTTCTCTACCTTAAATTCTCTCTGAAAAATAACTTGTGTTTTGTGTTCCTGGAAGGACTCTCCTTGTTTTTTCGGGTCTGCATTACCTCGTTTGAGTTTCCACCAGAGTAGCCCAAAATGTCTTCGCTTCAGTGTGAATGGTTAGATTGAGTTTCTTAAGTTCCCTTACCTCTAGGTACCTTTATGTTAAATTTGGTCATTCCTTCTCCACATGGATAAAGCATATCCAGCCTGACTCAAGGTTGCACCCTGCTGGTTGAAAATAGATAGCTGGTAGACAGGAGGTGAAAAGAGGCTATCTTGACAGAGCTCAGTTACCAGTGTTTGGATAAAATCAGTTCCTGAACCAATAGAGACTCTACTCCTTATACCAATGACCCTTATTCAAAACTTTCTGTCATTTGGTTTTGTGACACTTTCATTCCTTATACCTCATTTTTAAATTTATTTTATTTTATTTTATTTTATTTTAAGAAACAGGGTCTTGCTTTGTCACCCAGGCTGGAGTGCAGTGACACAATCATAGCTCGCTGAAATCTCGAACTCCTGGGCTCAAGTAATTCCCCCCCACCCCCACCTCAGCCTCCTGAGTAGCTGAGAATACAGGTACATATCATAGCACTTGGCTAATATTTTCAAAATTTTTTTTTGTAGAAATGGGGTCTCGCTATGTTGCCCAGGCTGGTCTTGAACCCCTGGTCTCAAGTGATTCTCCTCCCTCAGCCTCTCAAAACTCTGGGATTACAGGCATCAGCCACTGTGCCTAGCCTCCTTACACCTCCTTAAGAGCCTTTATAATTCGAGTATATTAAAATCTATTTTTCTCTGAAAATTTTATAAAACTCCTAAAGGTAAATGAGAAGAATTTTAGAGTAGCACCCACCTTCTGCTTGATAAGAAGCCCTGTTCTTTATGTTTGATTATTGAGAACTATCCAACAAGCTAACTCAAGAAGTTATTGATTGAGCTGAATCCAATAACTCAAACATTATTATGGTAACATCTCCAAAATTACTGCCATCTATATCTGAAATATATTTATACAAGAGGGGAAAATAGAGCTAATTCTGCTCATTTTATTTCCAACAAAAATTGACTGAGGGGAAAAGGGCAGGTTGCCAGTCTGTTTCCTATTTCATGGGAAGGAAAGTGAGAAACAGCCACCAGAAATTTCTGTTTCATTATCAGAAAAGTTGAGTGAACACAGATGAAAAGGATGTAAGTTTTTATTTTAATAGTTTATAATTTAAGTATATTTAGGAAAATAGATTTTAAGCATTCATTTTAAAATCTATTTTCCTAAAGAAATAATAATTTATGGAACCTGAAAATGGAATATCTTTTCATAGGTAATATTTATGTTCTTCCTCATCCCAAGAGGAAATTCTCATCATAAGGTTATATTAACTCATACAAGTCTTGAAAGATTCATTAAGAGAAAGCTTTTGAACGAGTGAGGTAAGAACCATTACTTAGTCATATGTTTTTGTGACCTATAAAGCAACCTGGATATATTTTAATACCTGACAATGGCATGCTTATATTTTTGTAGGAAAACCTTTACTCTTACAAACTTCTTTCATCTCAGTTTTTGTTAACTCCATCATAGAATTATGGCTACTCACAATCTCTCTTGTCCTGCTGGGCAGGAGGTTCTTTTTGTGTGGTTCGTTTTCTTCTCTATCTAGTAACAATCAGAGAACAGATCCAGAAATCTGAGGGTTTTCTGCTATGGTAACTCAACTCTTACTTTATTAAATCCACACAATAGAATCAATGAGAAAAAAAATCTGTTGTTGAAGTTGGATACAATTCAGAAAATCTCATTGGCAGGAGAGGAAAATTAACTAGCTCTCTATAGTAGGGTCTCATCTTCTGTGTTGATTTGGAAGTGGACTTCCTTTTAGAGCCTTCCAGTTGCAGCATTCCTCACTTACTGAACATTCCTCAATGCTGTGAATAAAAGAATTGTTATTTCACACAAGGATTTAATGTTTAATACTGTTAAGATGTGTGTTTGTGGTGGTTGGGTAGGGCCGGGGATGATCTCTTTCCCCAAAAGTAGAATGCAATGCTGACGAGTGCATACCCAAGACTGAATCTGTGGTTAAGGAATGACCTGTTAAATAGATGTGTGTAAAAGCATGGTCTTAAGGCACCTGATCTTACAATAGCTCATACAAACCTGAAAGACCCTGCATGAGTCCGTGACAGTTGATACAGTAGCCTAGAGTGGAAAGGGAAGGGAAAGAGCCATGGGCTTGTGGGAGGAAAGACTCTTGTCCAAGATCTCTGATTTTTCATAGTGGATCTGTCTGCCACACCCTTTATTTGTTAATTTTCCTAATAAATAAATGAGGCACATAACTCTATAATCTAGCATGTAGTCATTGCTGAATAGAGAACTACAAAGAGTCTTTCAAGTGCAAAAGGAAGCTTAATACTTGTAATTTTAATGCTAATCATTGGGAAGGCAATGTAAAAAAAAGCTCAGCAAATAATTTTAAAACCTAATGTGTTAGTTGCTAACTCCAAAATTATGCAAGCTGCTGTGAAAGCAGACTGTTGTGCTAATTAAAGCCTTTCTTTATACCTAAGATCCATGATGAAACTAAAATAATTCTATATTGATCTATAACTGCTACCTGATGGTAGGGCAGCCGGCTCACAGAGAAGAGCAAAGGGTTCCCATGGATATAAAACTTCACTGGAAAGTGCTTAATATAAAATAAACACATACCACCCAATCACACCCACACACATACACACACACACATGGTCAGGTAGTGTTGAAAGTGCATTGGACAGAAAGAGAAAATCTAAGAAAAACACCCACTAAAATGCATGGTTTTGGCTAATACATTTGCTATCTGTTTCAGCTGTTGTACTGTGTCACTTGGTCAAAAAGAATGATGGAGGTGAAAGGTTTATAAAAACTAATAATTAACTAGGAAGGCTGAAATTCTGACTCTGACCTACTTTTGCCTCTGTTTGAACTTGAATGCTTCACTTAACCTAATCTTAAGCCTCCAACTTCCTACAGAAAAAAATAAGGGAGTTAGACTACATTAGGACTGAAAGTATATTAATGTGCTGAGGGGCAAAGAGCAGGTTGCCAACGTATTAGAAAACATTTGTCATCAAATTCATTATTAAAAAAATGGAAGAAAAAGTGGATTTATTTGAATAAACAAACAAACCTATTCAATTTTTCAGCAATTATTTAGAGTGCCCGTTATATACTCATTGCAAATAAGTCTTCCATTTATAAGATCTTGTGTTAAGGAGGTTGCATATTTGAGAGCAATTAATTTTAATAAAAAGAAGAAAAGTATAACATGGGCTTCACTAACTTTCAAATGATGCCCAAAGCCTTGGCCCAAATGCCACAATCTTAATGTGAATTATTTCATCATATTCACTATCCATCTGCAAAATTTTAAATAGCAAGTAAGTTATAACATTTTAATTCCTTGATGTTGGACACAAATTACAGTATGGGTTAGAAGAAAGCATATTTTTAAAATATAATGAGCCTGGGGTAATTAAACTATTATCTATTCTGATGTCAAAGAGAGGTAAATAATCTATTCTAGTGGTATATGCCATTTCAGCATCCCCAAATTCTTTCTCCAGAGAAATGAACTGTATCCACTCAAATACCTTAATATCTCCTCTTGATAGACTCATTTATAGAGAACAAGGTCTCATACCAATTCCTCAAATGACCCTCATGAACTCACTATTGAAAAATGTAAGGTACATAGATTGAAAAGTGGCAGCTTTTTTTCTTTCAATTACTTTATGAGAAGCTCCATTGATCTACACTTGGCATTCTTCATATGATCTAAATCAGCCTGCTTGTGATAAGCAGAATAATGACCTCCTAAAGATATTAATATCCTAATCCCTGAAGCGTGGGAATGTGTTACTTTACAAGGCAAAAAATATTTGACAGATGTTATTAAATTAAAGATCTTGAGATGAAGAGACTATCCTGAAATATCCACTTGGGTCCAATGTAGTCTAAGAATCCTTATAAGGAAAAGAGAGAATCAGAGACTCCGAGGAGAAGATGTGAGGATGAAAGCAGGAAGTGGAGTAAAACCATTTCTGGAAGAGAGCCATGAGCCAAGGAATGTAAACAATATCTAGAATACAGCAAAGGCAGGGAAAAGGTTCTCCCCTAAAACCACCACAAAGAACACTGACCTGAAGATTTGTTTCAGATTTCAGAAGTCAAAGATAAATTTTCATTGTTTTAGAGCCTTCAGGTTGGTGAATGCATCCATGTGCTGAGAGGGTGGCACACCCTAATTCCATGTAAGAAACTCCTGAACTCAGGACCCTCCTGGACCTTGTCCGATCTACCTCCTCATTGGTATCTTTTATTATAAATGAGTAAATTTAAGTATAAATAAATAATAAATGCATTTTTGTTATTTTAAGTTACTAGGTATGTAATGATTTATTTTACTTTTTTTTTTATAAAGATGGGGTTTCACCATGACCACCAGGCTGGTCTTGAACTTCTGACCTCGGGTGATCCACCAACCTTGGCCTCCCAAAGTACTAGGGTTACAGGTGTGAGCCACTGTGACCGGTCGGTATGTAATAATTTATTACAGCAGAAATAAGAAGCTAATACACAGCTTGACAGCCCCAATCTTTGCACTGGAGAGTAGATTATTAGTCCCCCTTTTGAAGTTCTTTCCTCTCTATTAATTTTTTTAATAGTCATACACTTTCTTCAGTGTTTTTATTCCCACCTGACCTTTTTCTTCACTGGATAGCTTTTAGTTTTTTTTTTTTTTTAATGTTTATGGATATGTAATGAGTGTATATATTTAAAGAGTATGTGAGGTATTTTGACACAACATACAATGTGTAAAAGTCACATCAGAGTAAATGGGGCATAGGGTAACCATCACCTCAAGCATTTATCATTTACAAACATTCCAATTATACTTTTTAAGTTATTTTTAAATGTACAATATATTATCATTGACTGTAATCACCCTCCTATGCTATCAAATATTAGATCTTGCTTATTCTATCTAATTATATTTTTGTACCCATTAACCATCCCCACTTCTCCCACACCCCACGACCCTTCCCAGCCCTTAGCAACTGTCATTCTACTCTCTAACTTCATAAGTTCAGTTATTTTCATTGCAGCTCCCATAAATTAGTGAGAACATAGAACACTGCCTTTCTCTGCCTGGCTTATTTCATTTAAAAAAATGACCTACACTTTTATCCATGTTGTGTTAAATGACAGATATCATATATTTTATGGTTAAATAGAACTTACTGTATATATGTACCATACTTTCTTCTTCAATTCTTCTGTTAATGAACCCTTAGGTTGCTTCCAAATCTTCAGTATGGTAAATAGTGTTGCTATCAACATAGGAGTACAGATATCTGTTCTATATAATGATTTCCTTTCTTTTGGTTATATTACCTAAGAGTGGGATTGCTGGATCATAGTTAGGTCAGTGCAAAAATAATTGCAGTTTTTGCCATTTTTCTTAATGTTTTGAGGAACCTCCATACTGTTCTTTATAGTTGTAGTACCAATTTGCGTTCCAAACAACAGGGCATGAGGTTCCCTTTTCTCCATATTCCAACCAGTATTCATTATTGCCTGTCTTTTGGATAAAAGCCATTTTAAGGCCGGGCGCCGTGGCTCAAGCCTGTAATCCCAGCACTTTGGGAGGCCGAGGCGGGTGGATCACAAGGTCAAGAGATCTAGACCATCCTGATCAACATGGTGAAACCCCGTCTCTACTAAAAATACAAAAAATTAGCTGGGCATGGTGGCGCGTGCCTGTAATCCCAGCTACTCAGGAGGCTGAGGCAGGAGAATTGCCTGAACCCAGGAGGCGGAGGTTGCGGTGAGCGGAGATCACGCCATTGCACTCCAGCCTGGATAACAAGAGTGAACTCCATCTCAAAAAAAAAAAAAAAAAAGCTATTTTAACTGGGGTGAGATGACATTATAGTTTTGATTTGCATTTCTCTGATGAACAATGATATTGAGCACTTTTTCAGATAGCTGTTTGCCATTTGCATGTCTTCTTTAAATAAACGTCTCTTCAGATCTCATGCCCATTTTTAAATCAGATTATTAAATTTTTTTATATTGAGTTGATTGAACTCCTTTTATATTCTGGTTATTAATTCCTTGTCAGATAGATAGTTTGGAACACCTAATAAATCTCGGGGAGTCCCTTCAGGGTTGACTCATCTGTTCATAATCCCTGTCATCACCAGTGTCTTCACCATCCCCCACCTCTGTTCTGCCACAGGTCTGCACTTTGTGTTGTTGTCCATTCTACTCTGTGATTTGGGTACCACCACCATTTGTTTCTGCTTCTCCTACCATCTCCACATTGGTTTCAGAACCGTAGCAATTCCCCTCATCATTTTAGTACATGTGTTTGCTCGGAATTTTTCCAAACTATGTTACAATGCTTATAAATAGTTTTCTGAGGAGCTAGTAGAAAGGAATAACATTGAGACTAATTTGTAACTGGTTACCAGATGTGACTACTCTCAGATCACAGAGTTACATGCCAATTTCATTAGGTCACCTCAGTGTACCTTTCTGTCTTACTAAAGCCTTCCTCCATGCCTAGCTCACAGCCCACAACCCAATGACAGCATTCAGCTTTCTAAGCACCATTATACATGCCCCTGAGTGTACATAGACACTTTAACCTGATATCTTTGCTCGATGAACCAAGTATTGATTGCTAAGCCACAGTCTAAGGCTCATATTTCGAGTTTTTATTTTTATCCCAAAATCTGCCTCTCTCCAAGTCTGGCCAACCTGGGTATTTTCCACGGTCTCCAAAGGAAATCTGCCCAATTAATAACAGGGATTTTACCCTATGGCCCCAACAGGATAATTACCTTATAATATAATAATCCAATGCCTGTAAAGTAGATAAAGATATAGCTACAACATCAAAGCTATTTTTTTACACCAGAGCTTACAAATTGCAGAGAAAAATAATTCCTTTTAATATTTCTCAGAGTTTAAGTAATTTAGTAGTAAGTAACATTTCACATAGAAAAACAACAGTTCAGTAATGTTGAGTTTCTCTAAGCCTAATCCAGCCACACTTTATTAAAATATCTATTTATAATTATAGTTTCTCCTTATCTTCTCAAAAAACTCATTCATTTGGCTGAATTATTATTAGGTAAAACTGACCTAAAACAAACTGCATGTGTTTAAAGTGTATACTTGGATAATTTTTGACATATGTGTACACCCATAAACCATCATCATAATTAAGATAATTAACATAGCCATTAACCCAAAAAGTCTCCTTATGTTCCTTTGCAGTCTCTTCCTCTTGTCCCTCCCCATTTTCCTTCCTGCCTCCTCAGGCAACCACTATTCTGATTTCTGTCAGTGTAGATTAGCCTATGTTTTCTAAAATCTCATATAAATGAAATCATAGTATATGTACTCTATTTTATCAGAGTTCTTTCACTCAGTGTAATAATTTTGAGATTAACCCATGTTGTTCCATGTTGCAATAGTCCATTACTTTTGCACCGCTGCATAATTATTCCATAATTCAATTATCTATTATCTGTTGACGGGCATATAGGTTGCTTTTAGTTATGTCTATTACAAATAAAGGACTATCAACATTTCAGTAAAAGTATTTGTATAAACATTAGCTTTTCTTTCCTGCTTATAAATATCTATGAACAGAATGGCAAGGTCTTATGCTTTATATATATTAATATTTAATTTTTAAGAAACTGACAAATATTTCTCTAAAGTGGTTGCATCATTTTACATTTTCACCAGCAATGTATGAGAGTTCCAGTTGCTTATTCTCACCAACACTTGGTATTGTTTGTTTTTCTGTTTTGTTTTTAGTTTTACCAAACTAACATATGTATACTGGTAACTCATTGGAGTTTTAATTTTAATTTTCCTAATTGCTAGTAATGTTGAGCTTTTTTTGTGTTCTTAATTGCCATTAATATATTATTATGTAAAGTGTCTACTCAAATCATTTGCCCATTTAAAAAATTTTTTTGGGTTTTGAGAATTATTTACCTGTTTTATTTACAAGTCATTTGTTCCATATATAATTTTCCAACATTTTCTCTCAGACTATGCCTTTTAAAAATTATCTTATCACAGGCTGGATGCAGTGGCTCATGCCTGTAATCCCAGCACTTTGGGAGCCCAAGGTGGGCGGATCACCTGAGGTCAAGAGTTTGAGACCAACCTGACTAACATGGTGAAACCCTGTCTCTACTAAAAATACAAAAATTAGCTAAGCATAGTGGTGGGTGCCTGTAATCCCAGCTACTCAGGAGGCTGAGACAGGAGAATTGCTGGAATCCGGGAGGTGGAGATTGCAGTGAGCTGGGATCATGCCATTGCACTCCTGCATGGGTGACAGAGTGACACTCTGTCTCAAAAAAAAAAAAAAATTATAACTGTCTTTTGAAGAACATAAGTTCTTAATGCCAACAAAGTTTAATTATTTTTTAATTAATCATGATATTGGTGTCATATATAGGAAATCTTTGTCTAACCCAAACTTACAAAGATTTTCTTTTATGTTTTTTTTTTTCTAGTAGTTTTAAAGGCTTAGGTTTTACATTTAGGTTTACAATCCATTTCAAGTTAGTCTCTTTTTATGTAGTGTAAGGTATGGATTATAGTTCATCTTTATTTTTTCCCAAAAATAGATACCCAAATATTGAAAAAGCAATTTGTTAAACAGAGTATTCTTCCTTTAAGGAAATGAATGTGAACCTTTGTTGAAAATCAATTCAATCAATACATGCCAGTCTATTTTTAGACTCTCTCTGTTCTATTGATTTGTCTATATTGATGCCAGTACTACATTGTCTTGATTACCGTAGCTTTATAGGCCTTGAAGTCAGCTAATTTAAATTTTACATCTTCATGTGTTTTTCTTTTTCAAAAGTATTTTGGCTATTTAAGTTCCTTCATATTTTTATATGGATTTTAAAAACAGCTTATCAATTACTATTTATAAATTTGCTGGGATTTTTATTGGGATTATATTTACTCAGGAAAAATTGGTATTTTAACAATATTGAGCTTTCTTATTCATGAACATGGTATATCTTTCCATTTATTTGGGTAATTTTATCTTTTTGGTAAAAGTTAGGGGTAGCTTAATCACTAACTTCTCTTTCCCTCTGGCCTCTAAGCAATTAAAAATAGAAACATTCTCTAAATAGGAAAGAGAACAGACCTTAAACAGAGCTTGATGTGTTTCAAAATGGCATTTTCCAATTATTCACCCCAAATTCAAAACTAGAAAATCACGTGTAAGGGTGATTGGGTCTACAAAGAAGGCTATAAATATGCTTTCCCAGCCACATGCATGATTCTGACTGGCCCCAGAAAGCTAAGAACTACAAGAAAACAGAGACCTTACTAGCTCTCTTCTTTGAGAGTGGCATAGAAAATAAATATTCATAGGTATGCACACTAAAATTGTGAGCTCACTGTGCCTGAGGTCAGTTTTAACAAGAGAATAGAGAAGTGGGTAAGAGTGTCTTCTAATACAGTAAGGCCTGGCCTCTGATAAATGTACCCTAATGAAAGTCAAACTCTTACAAAGTTTACCATCAGATAAGTCATCTGTTGGAAAGCAAGGAATTAAATGGAAATATAATTCCTTGCTTTCTACAGGACAATTGGTATCTCTCACACTTGGGTGGGCTTGGTCAAGACTCTCTGTTAGATGTGTAAGATACTTGCACTGAATTTGTAGTGCAGTAATGTAGAGGAGTAGGAAAGAAACAAGAAAAACACAAGTATGGTATGAAGAGATTCTTGGTAGTTATTTAGATATGCATATAAGCACATTAAAATATGAAGAGAGCAAAGCATATTTCTAGCTTCATGGACATTTTTTCATATTTCTTTGTTTTGTGGGCTAAAAAATGACAAAAAGGAGAGGCAGAATTTACTTAAATTTAAAGGCTTCTACTTAATACATTTTTTTTTGCTGAGTTATTTTCTGTATAAAGATGGTGAATTTCTCAGAAAAACATGTACCAACCTAGTCTAGAAATGGAGTAGCCTAGAAATGACTCAAGAAAGTATGGCTCCTTCTTCTAGCAATTGCTAGTATGGAATCAATATGCTGAGGACTATTGTGTTCATTGCTATAGTCTAAGTGCCAAAAACAGAACTGACACCTAGCAGGCACCCCAATTCTGTCATTAGAAATGCTTTTTATTACTTCTAATTCCCAATTTTCTTTTCCTTCTCCCAATTCTAATGAAGTTGTGTTCTAAATTGCATTATCTACCATTAACTTTTTATACTACCTTTGATTAACTTCAAGTTGTTATGTGTGTACTTCTGCTCCTTTAAGTGCAAAGTGACCTCCCCAAGATGATATTTTTAATTTTACAGAGCATATAAGGAAGTGGTGTGACATGGCTTCTGAGTTTGGACTTTCCAGCTATGGTCTCTACACTACTGATTAGTAGCTGTGAACCTTGGACAAATAACTACCCTGGTATTGTTTTATTGTCAGTAAAATGAAAGTAATAATGACATTTATCTCACAGTCACATTATGATGATTAAATGAGATAATTTATGTAAGGGATTCATAATGCTTCACATATAATCTTCACACATCACAATCAATACACATAATGTTTCACACATAACAATCAATACATTAAAACTTTTTAAAAAACAAACACTCTCATATAAGTTGACTTTTTTTAAAACCTGAAAGCACTCAGAGGCAGATCACAGATTAAATATTCTTTAGGAATGCTGGAGGTGAGTATGCAGGTTGAAAGGGTGGAAATAAAGTATTATTTTACTGGCATT